GTACATAATTGACAGGGATATTTTTTATTATGATTTGCTATTAGATAAGTACAGTTTATACATTTATTGGTATTTGATTTACAATATTGGAACTCGCGATTGTTTACTATGTATAGAAATCATTATTATCTTGGCTACTTTCTAAGCGACCGGTAAGTAGATATTTTAAATAAAATGCTTTAATTACTAGATGACGAGTTTAACCAAAAATGCTTTTTAAGGTAGCTTCTTAAGAATTTCTCCAGTTATAAGGACGTAGCTGGAAACTTTTTGTATTCCTAATTTCATCTACTACTTCTTTCGTTGTTATTGTATTGGTATCTAAATATTCACCTTCATGCTAGAATAATTCTGTGCTATTATTTTCATTGGACTGAAAAGTGTATTCCAAGTGATTTTAGAACGTTTCAGCTTTTTCTTGATTTGACTTGGCCCAGTCTCCATTTGCAGTACTGGTTGGTGGGCAGTATACAGGGTGTACCAATAAAAACTCCCAGGTCGGATATTTTGGTAAGTAATAGAGATATTTTAATTATGTAAAAGCCAGTTCATAGAGCGCTAAGAGATATAAATTGATTTTAAATAGGTCAATATGTAGATGGCGCTGCGCTCAATAATTTTTTAAAATACGTTGTTTTTTATCCCGATAGAGGGCAGTACAATTAAAAGTATCACAATGAACAGTCATATTTCTAAATTCCCCATAAAATTTCCTTTTTAATGATGTACTACACATTGTAGTATCACATTCTATAATACGTAGTAAGTTTTTATCCCGCTAGAGGGCAATAAAATTTAAGTAACGTAATGTACATAAATATTTCCGAATACTTCATTAAATTACCATTTCAATGATGCGCCATACATGGTGCATTACCTATTTAAAATTAAGGTGTGGAGAAGTACAAGGGAGGGGGTTGACACATGACAGATGTCTGTATTGCATAAATGTCTTTAATTTGGAATAAAAATCGACTTGTTATCGCATTTTCTTAAAATCCAATAATTCATGCTTTTTAACAGGATAAAACTGTTTTAAGTGACCCATTCTGTATATCAAAAATGTCTAGATATACCGAAATAGTTCATAGAACAAAATTTGCTTAAAAATGTATTTTTCACAAGATGCGCTACACAAGAAAGATCCTCCCATCGAAAAAAAAGTTATTGAGCGCAGCGCCATCTACATATTGACCTATTTAAAATCAATTTATATCTAAAACTGAAGCTCTCTTAGTGCTCTGTGAACTGCATTTTACAGAATTAAAATATCTCGATTACTTACCAAAATATCCGGCCTGGGAGTTTTTATTGGTACACCCTACCCTGTATATCAGTGGCCTTTCTAAATTTCTTTTTACTTTCGAGTGGGAATCAGAGCCGTAACTAGACTTGTTGGCGCTTGTGGCAAATTATAAATGTTGCGCCTCTCACTACTTAAATTGAAAAGCTGATGAAATATATTTCGTTTTAATAAAAACAGACGTAAGAACAAAATAACTAAAAATGTCAAATAAGTAATCTAAAAATGAAATAACTAAAAATATATTCTTTGAAAAAAAAATATTTAGTTTAATCACATAATGCCATATTAAATATACAAATTAAAATAGAACTTCTAGATTTAGATTCAGCAAATATGTTTATAATCTCATCATAATTTAAATTAATTGTAGTCGATTTTTCAATTGAAATTATAGACATATTTGTTAATTGGGATCTGAAGATAAGCGATACGCCCTCTACTGTGAACTAAAAGTTATGGCATTTGACACTTGGCCGTCTGTGTTCTGTCAAGTTTTATTTATCATATCAATAAATGTTATTTTAAAATTTAACAAGTATATTGTTTGAAATATCTTATTTAATAATAAGCTAATACTTTAAATTTTTATCATAAATATTAAAATATTATATTAGTTGGACTATAAGTGGAATATCAGTGAAAAACACACTTGTGTGCCTCAATGCAGCCCTAAAAAAAATGGACCCTTCTTTTTACATTTCGTCTGCTTCCTAAAATTGGTAAATGTAGGGTAATTTTTATAAAATGCAAGTGAAAATTCTGCAAGAAATGCATGGTTACAAAAGTTGAGAAGCCAGTATTAAAGTATTTGAAAATTTGTTCCCATGCACAGCATTTTAAAGAAGATACTTATTTGCCTAGAGGTAATATAGATTTATTTTTCGATTGAATGTTTTTATTTTACCTTTTTTGTGTTGTAGATGCCTCATCCAAAGTGAAAATAAATATTAAAAAAAATCGCTGTGCCTTCCTACCAGTTTTTAAGTAAATGTTTGAGATTCTGTTCGATAAACCTCAAAATCAAATATTGATAGAACAAAAAGAAGATCCAAACTAAAAAAAGGTCAATCAGTGTTAAATGTGATAGTGAGAACAAAAAGTCATAGTTGAGAGTGATTTGTTTCAAGATAGCCTAGCTACTCACACCAAACAAGACATAGAGGTTGCAAATACTCTTTTTCAAGTGTTTTGACATTAGTGTACCAGTGCATACCCCAACAATTTAAACAATTTCAGATCTTTTAAAATCTGACGACCAGTTTTGTTCATTCACTGGCATTAATAACTTTAACATACTGTACTAGAAAATACAGTGAAATCAGCTGAAGTACTTCAGAAGATGGCCTATTGGGTATTGTAACTGTAAAGAACGTTTATTATTATGTAAACATTGGCATATTTTAACAGGAAAAATAAAAAAATATTTGATTTTTATATTTATTGCTTATAATAATAGCCTTTTTACCAACAGACTCAACTGTTCCATTACAGAATAATATATAAAAATACATTATCAATGTACAATTACTCATTACAAAATGTAACTGTACACAATGACTAGTAAACTTAAGAATAATAAAAATAATTATTAAAAAGAGTATTCTCTCAAGTACAAAATCAATCATAAATTTCACGCTGACATTTTCATTTAATGTCTTAAAGAAGAGATCACATGAGTTACTTATGTTATTAATATAATAATATAATTTATTCACACAATATCCAAACATTAAAAACATCAGTGCATTAAAGAGGTGAGAGTAAGAACACTTGCGAAGTGTCATACATTTGTAAAAGAATAAGTAACATAAATTAAATAATATATTATAAAAATATTAAGACTAAAAACTAGTACAAACTAGAAATTAAAATTATGATTAAGTAAATTTTATATCAAAAAACTAACAGACCAAAAAAATAGTACCTACTTGTGTTAATATATGATTTTAAAAGGACAATTATTCTGTATCTGTTTTAAAACATCTTGTTAAATAAAATTATGGAACATTGAAGATTATCAAATAGTTTATGCAAACATAAAAGTAAAGCCATAAATATTCTGCTTCCCTACCAAGGACACATGTTTTTTTTAATAATCAAAGTGATTTTAGATTTTTTTGAAAATATGAAAGAATATCTTGTGTAGTGCCATTATTTATCGATTCTTTACAATAATCATTTGTAATTATATTTAATCTCAATAACTAAAACATACAGGTACTGAAAATTAGTTTGACAGAATTGTCACTCATTTAAAATTTAAGAAAAATAATGGTATCCTTGTGATCAAATATGAACTGTGATTGGTGGATTTCATAACTGTACAGTGTTCTTCATAGAATGGATAAATATATTCGTTCAATGGCCTACTTTTTTGTTCTGTAGTCAGTGCGTAGAATAAATAATATACATGAGGGTGTAGAACAAAATCATAAGGTATTCAATCGAATTAGCTTGATAGTTCTTTGAAGCAGTATACCTACACCTAGAACACTTTATTAAGACTCCTGAAATATCTTTGCACTGTCCACTGTTCCCAGCTTAAAACAAACATTGCCATTCACCAATTTCTAACATCTGCCTTGTGAATGAGAACTGGCCTACAATAATATGGGGATCTGAATTCAATGCACTAGTTTAGAGAACAACTGCATAAACAGATATATGTTTATCACTAAATTCATTCTATCCACATGAAAACTAGTGGCCTGCATTTAAAATAGCATCTTCTTTAATAACATTCCTGGAATTTTCAACTAAACCAATATACTTCATAAGTTCTCACTAAAAATAGAATAAATACATTAATATTTGATTAAAAGATAACACAAATATCTCAAATTAATATAAATGAATTAAAGTAACTCAAAAACAAAATTAATAGGGGATTAGGGGGTACTTACCAAATAAAAATATACATTTTACTTTAACCTAAAAACTATTGAAATAAAAGTATCTAATTACAAAAAATTAACAACAATATGTTTTCCTTAAAATAGCACCAATATAAATTTATGGGTTGTTTGTTTACAAACTCAAAAATGTAAACAATAACAAGCCATAAGAATTAGTTCAAATATCAAGTACAGACGGCGCTGCGATCTTAATTTTAGATCCCAATCGTTGTTGCCCTACAGAAGAACGTAAATATGACTTCACAAGCTTAAGTTTGCTGAACGAACGTTCGCATGTAGCGGTTGTCACTGGGATGTCTCAAGGCCGTCTGTATGTTTGGATAAATATTTTCTATGGACAGGTTATAAATACCTTCCAAATTTTCAAGGGCCCATTTCAAAAAAAAATTCATACAGCCTTTTACTTTGGAATTTGAAGCTTTCTATTTCTGATATGAATTCGTAAGCATTTAAATCAGCAGGATAATTAAGTGCAAGATCTGTGGCTGTCTTTTTGAATTCATCCACAGTGGTTGTCTCGATAGAAACCCCGTTTAGGAATCCAAAATCTGCTACCTCTTTTAGAGCCACAAATCTTTCTTCCATTTGCATGACGATTGTATCAAGAACCTGCAACAATCAACTCTTAACTGCGTGGTGGAATTAAAAGAATCACTTGCTTTCTCCCCAAGCATTTTCTTTCGCTTTCGAGACTCGTGAAGGATTGGCTCAATGTCAATTTTCTCTCCCATACGCTTTGAGGACTGAATCAGTGGTGTATTCATTTTGTCTGTATGTTTTCATTTCGTCCAACAGTCCCTGAAATATTCGAGCACCTTAAGATACATCATGCTGCGTTTCTTGTTAGGAAATTTTATTTTTTTTATTAATTTCAATAATGTCTTTGATTGCACAATCGTATTTCCAGTACCTTCTTCCGATGCGCTGACCTCTTCAAGAACTTTTTCCAGCTGGGAGTTTAAAGCATGGACAGCGTTAGCTTTTGATGACCAGCGTGTATCGCTTGTTCCTTTTAAATACGTCTTAAGTCTGCTTTTCAACAGTCCCCACCGGAAAGGTGATCCAACAAAAAAGTTATATATTTGTTGAACTGTTTCGAAAAAGGATTGCATTTTTGGATCTATTTGAATAGCATGGACTCCCACTAAATTAAGAATATGAGCAGTACAATAAATAAATCGAACATTATCATTCAGTAATAGAATTCGAGCCTGAACACCCTTGTACTTACCAGCGATATTTGCGCAATTATCGTATGATTGCCCTCTGATGTTGGTTATATCCAATTTGTCAGTAATCAGTTTTTCCTCTACTTCTTTTGCAAGCCCTTCGCCAGTTTTTTCGTGGGTATTGATGAAATCAATAAAACTCTTCAACAGTACACTTCCTGTTAGAGTTAATATTAACATAGCGTATTATTTGAACTCATTGTTCCTGATGAGAGAAGTCTGTAGTAACGTATGGTCCTAAAGTTTTTGGAAAATTTTTAAATTATTTATTTTTGTACCCAATGTCGTTTAATCAAGTTGCCATTGAAACTAAAACGTCACACGTAATCAAGTTTGAATATGACAGTTTAGTTTTGGAAATCGATTGTAGCAAAATGTCTTACAAATTAGATATTCGTAAGGGCATTTACAATCTAGTTGGACGAATACCTAAGCATGATATTGTTGCAATCTACCAAGAGCAAAATATAAGTAAGTCAACCATTTACAACACTATAAGGAATTGTGAAGAGGGTATACCATGCATTAATTTACCCAAAAGCGGTAGACCACGAATTTTGAGTGTAAGAAGAGAAAGAAGACTGATGGAAGCTGCTAAAGACAAAGTTGGAGTTTCTCAGAGAAAATTAGCCCGGAGATTTGGTATTTCGAAAACCACTGTATTAAGAACAATTGATCGCACAAACTTAGTGTTTAGGAAAAGAAGAAAGGCACCAAAATACACCGCAGACCAGCTAAAAAGAATTCCGCGTTGTTGCCGCGCATTAAGGCGTATCCACTTTGCCAATAAATTGATTGTAATGGATGATGAAAAATATTTTATCTTATCCCATTCAGAGATTAAAGGAAACGATGGGTTTTATACCGATAACATAGAAAATACACCAGACAATGTTAAATTTAAAGGTAAATCGAAATTTGAGGATAAAGTTTTAGTGTGGTGTGCCATTTCTAAATCAGGATTTATCTCACAGCCGTATGTTGGTCGTGTTCGGGGAGAAGCCTTAAATGCAGAACTTTATCTTCAAAGATGTCTTACTAAATTACTTAATTTTTTAAATACACATCATCTCAACGATAATATAATGTTTTGGCCTGATCTAGCTTCATGCCATTATGCTAGAATTACCAGACAGTGGTTAAGTGAAAATAACATTGACTTTGTACCTAAGTTGGACAATCCTCCTAATGTACCTCAGGCTAGGCCAATAGAGGAATTTTGGTCAATACTATCGAGGAAAGTGTACGATAAAGGATGGGAAGCTACAAATGAAGATCAATTGCGGCGTCGCATCTTCCAAAAGATTAGAGAAATAGAACCTGCTCTTGTCCAAAGGAAGATGGGACAAGTCCGAAGAAAATTACGACTCATTGAGGATAACGGACCACTATCCATAATGTAATTAGTAATTATTTTTCGTTATTAGTGTTGTTAATTGTTGCCACATGTGCTTTTAAAATTAAAAAAATTTGGAAAAATTTATTAGCATTTAAAAATTTTCCAAAAACTTTAGGACCATACGTTATAGTCAAATAATATTGAAAAATATTTTGCAGTCTTGATATTCTCAATAATATGCCTCCTTACTTCTGTAGCTACCAGACTTATCAACTCGTTTTGTATGGTAGGGGAAAAGTAGGTTTACTAACCTTTATTTTGAGCCTCAATGTGATCTTTAATGATACTGTCATAGTGGCTAATTAGTTCAATTGAGCTTAGAAATTGGCCACAATTTGAATTACCGATAATTTTAGAAGTGCCTCCCAGCGCATCATTATTTTTTATGCAAAATAGAATGGCATTTACTATTACCTTCGAAATGTGTCTCCACTTGTTCTTCTCCTTTTGCATAGCTTTTAAAAACTGATCATTAATTAACCCACCTTCGTTCAATTTTTTTTTCGGATATAATTTTTACGGTGGCTTACCGAATTTTCGTGATGAGGCAACAATGGATTCATATGTTTCCCATCTCTAAACCCGGTTATTCAAACACTATTTCTATTATTACAAAATAGTATGCATGGGAAGCAAAAAATTGAATCTAGCTCTTTCGCCATGTGCCAGTATTTTCATTAACCACAATAATAATCAAATAATAACTGATAAATTAATCATAAACCAATAACAGGACTTTCCATTTTTAAAATTATTATTTGTTTTTTTAATTATTTATATTTTATCTTTATATTTATTCTATTAAATAGTTCGTTTCAGATCCTGGCATTAAAATTAAGTTAAATTACGATTGCTATCAGAAATAAAATCCCATAAAGCGTCGTTTGGAAGCAAGAAATCGTTTTTATGTGTGTACCTATCTATCAAATGACGTTGATTATTCAGTAGTACAGGTTCCGAACTTAATTTTCTTAATTGTTAAAGCAAACTACCTATCATTATTCCAGCTCGTTACAAAAAGATATAGTGGTCTGTTCATCGTAAAATTACAAAATAGAGCCAATAAAATATTTTATGTTGAACAGAGTATTATTTACCCTCTTTTATAACTAATTATTTAACACTGAACCTGTCTCGATTATGAGTTAAGGGCCGATCTTTTAACTAGTGAATTATTGTTTAAATTCGCTATCGTTAATGGCGATTCTGAAGGTTTTTATACAACCATTATAAATTACTTTAAGTACATGAAAAGTATATACAAGTTGAATGTTAAGTGGTGTGTACCGAATAAATTTCGATGGCGGACAAGTAAGGATTTCTCAGCGGTTGAGTGGCAACTGAGCGCCACAGAACACTTACTCCTAGAACGGTATCTCCCATGTTAAAAAAGGATGATATAATTTTCAGCGGCACCTGGCGGACGTGGTTGATTTTTTTTCAATTAAGTCCTTGTCTGGTAAGAGGCCATATGAAAGAAGATAAAATAATAAAAAGAAGAAGAGAAAAAAAGCGCGGGGCTATTCAAATTTGACAGTAAAAATTATATGCATTAAAAACTGTTAGCCAAATTAAGATTTGTTCACACAAACGGCATTTTTGATTTATTATAGCGATATTCGCTATAATGAAGCAAAAATGCAGTTTGTGTGAACAAATCTTAATTTGGCTAACAGTTTTTAGATAAAAAAACAAGCATATTCAAAAAATAAGTTTATTAAAGAATATATATAATACAAATCCAATATTTAAAAAATGTAATGTATATGAAAATTGTTATATGTATGAAGTAGCTGGATGGCTGCTACATATTCCAGGATACAACACTGTCCATCATTTTGTCAAGAACTTTATCTGTGAAAAAAGAAAGACAGTATAAGTACAATCTCATTAAAATAAATGTATTAATAAAAATTTATAAGTCCGAGGAATAATTTATTTTTTAATAAGTCCAACATCTACGATACAGCTTTGCAACCCCCAAACGTCACGAAACAGAAATTTCACAGTATATGCCGCGTTTGAGAATCCACATCGGATGCATCTGAGATGTAGTAAATCTTTGATCACGTGATTCAGTATAAGTAAATAGGTTTGTTTTGGTTCACGTTCTAGAATTGTTCCAGAACCATGCGCAGAACTATTGCGCAATGGTCCTTAATTCTGAACAGTTCTGTAACCATTCCATTGTATTCGAAACCAAAACACTGCCAGAACAGTTTAACGTCAAAGAGTAAATTATAAATAAAAAAGAAGAAATAACACAGGGTCAGTGTCTAGGTAAGAAAGAGGCCACATAATATAGTAAAACGTAGATAAATTAAATAATAAATACGTAAAAAATCTTATAACTCAACATCAATTAATCAACTGCTCCATTCTCATTAGTCATTCGAAAATTCCTTGTAAAAATTCCCACACAAAACATGGCCAGGATCTCAAAAACAAAGTTACTTGCAAAAAAGCGCAAGCGCAAACATATCAATTCTGAAACAGTTCTCGCTTTAGGCCAGAACCGACGTTACTGTTCGAGAATGGTTATGGAACCATTCCCAAGAAAAACCAAAACACAGAACTTAAAGGTTCGGAACAGTTCTGGCGAAACCAAAACAGCAAATATCTACTGCGCATGCTCCAAAGGTTCTGGAAGAGTTCTAGAACAGTTATGAAAATGAACCAAAACAAAGCTAATGTAATGGGACAGATGTGTCCGATTTAAAATAAACTATTTGAGGCGCTGTTCTCCACATCTCAGCAAATGGGCTAAAATGATAATTTATAATGCTCTAATATTACCTCATTTTAATTATTGTGCCACTATACTGTATTTGCTCAACCAGAATGAGTTGCAACGATTGCAAAAGTTGCAGAATAGAGGTATGAGGATAAAACTGAGCTGTTCGAGATTGGAACCAATCAATTCCATGTTGAATGTGCTTCAGTGGTTGCCTGTTAAAAAATATTTGCTATTTTATTCCCTGCTTTTTATATTTAAAATTAAATCAGGAATCTCCCCAGTATATTTACAAAATATTTTAAGTTATAATCAGGATGTTCATGAACATAATACACGTAATAAGAAAAATTTTAGAGTTTATAAAGCCACGAAAAAATGTACACATAATTCAGTGTTTTTTAAAGGTGTACAGGCTTTTAATAATTTGCCTGAGGATATTAAATGTTCTTCAAATGTGGCAATATTTAAAATAAAACTGCGTGAATACCTGTTGACCTATAGACGTTTTTTTTTCTCTTCCTTGTTCTTTTATTGTTTTGTATAGTTGACATGTAAGTGTACTGTATCTTATGTATTTTTTATTGCATTTTAAATGTATATTGATTCTATATTTATGTATTTTTTATATTTTAAATGTAAAAATGTATTGACATGTAAAAAATAGTTTTTTTGACTAAATAAACGATTTATATATAGGTATGTGGATAAAAAACGCTCGAGATGTAAAAAATGCATCTGATGTGGAATCTCAAACACAGCAATAAGTATAAAATAAATGAGTAGAGTACTAACTTTCCTTCTCGAAAAGAAGTCCAACATATATAATTAGTCTGCTTCTTCTTCTACGATACAGCTTTGCAACCCCAAATGTCATGAAACAGAAAATACACAGTATAAGTATAAAATAAATGAGTAGATTACTAACTTTCCTTCTCGAAAAGAAGTCCAACATATATTATTAGTCTGCTTCTTCTTCGAACCTTTACTTGAAGTAGAAGGTGTTTGATCAACATATTCAATTTCTACGTTATTTGAGGAAAGTCCATCCGCTACTCTTCCAGGAACTGCTGGTAGGAATAGCGTTGGAAATGCTTCAGGTGTTAGACCTCGACGAGAGCCAACTACTTTATATTTCTCTTCAAAATGTTTATGACATACTACAAAGGTGGAATAAATTTGTAGTCTTGTTTTATTATTAAATCTTGGACAACGAACAGCAAGTGCACAAATATCAAATAAATCGGGTGAATTCGTAGGGTGGGGCAGGCGATGCATCTTGTTGTCCACATCAAGGCAATTCGGTACACAACATTTTCTATAATTACGCATCTTTATGAAAAAGCACAAAATAACAGCGGAAAAAGCACAAATTTATAATGGAAAAACAAGCTTATTAATAGTGGTCAACAAAATCAATTAAGCAAATTGGAAATGAAAACAACTGAATACAACAGTCACCAATATAAATAAACAAAGTTCACGTTTGGTTTAAGCCAAGACGCCATGACACCCCCCACAAAAATCAATATTCACCTGTCCTTTACACTCCCACCACCTACCCCACCACCCGACTGCAGCGCCACGCGGACGTGGTTGATTTTTGCTCTATCCCAGGCCTGCGCATACCAGTTTCCCACCCCTGCTGAGCGCGTCCCCGGCTGGTGGATAGGACGACTGCTAGGATTTAATAGTTTGGGGTAAACATAAGTAGAATTAGAGAAGCTAAGGGATGAATTGTCGCAGAGGTATATGCGGGCAGCAAACGTTCCCTTGTGGGCATCGGGCGACACATACCTAGCTCTGTACAGATGGTACTGAACCATCCCTTCCCGTGTAACAACCACTAGCCTAAAGACTCATTTGGTTCAACTAATAGGTCTTTAGCTGCTGTTGTCTATATACTATTAAGGGACGAAGGCAGCACTGTCACCAGCCAAAGGGTCCTCGAGTTCAGAAGGAACTTCCATTCACCAGTGTCAAATAAAAATAAAATAAAATTAGAAAAAGATAAAATTAAACCTTACTAGAATAAATCGAGTGACTTTGGCAACTAGTTATATACTCTTAGTCCATTTAGGGGTGGAAACGCTCGGAATATTTCATAACTGGTTTTGGAAGGGGGAGAAGAGAATAATAAAAGTATATAATTTAATAATATGTATATTTAAAATAAGTACAAATTGACAGTCTCAAAAATAAATAAATCAAATTATATTTAGGGAATAAAGCACTATTTGATAATATATCCATGCTTTTAAAAATACCTATGATTTATGACAACTAGATAAACTATCTATTGAATAAAATAGTTTGGACTTAACAATTTAACAACTAAAATAGCACTGAAAACTTTAACTATATAATGAAGGGTAACCTGAAGAATAAGATTAAGATCCTACAGATCAACCTCCAGTACTGTAAGGTTGCTTCGACAGTACTTTCAGCTGCTATAAAGAGGTTTGACGCAGCACTGAGACAGGAACTGTGGATCATACACGGTGAAATAAAAGGGTTAAGAGGCTGTGGGTGGGGGAGTTGATGTACAACAGATCCACAGACACCCTCAAAACCTGCATAATTGTCAAAAATGTATCAAAATACTGCCGTTTATTAACTTTTGTTCTAGGGATTTAACGGTAGTGCGAATAAAGATCAATGAGGGGAGTGGGCCAGAGACATGATAATCGGATCGGCATATTTCTCTTCAGATGATGCT